ACACAACCCCGGTTCTAGAAAACAAACATGTTAAGAGATGTGGTAAGCTTGTAAAAATATAGACTTACGTATTTCATGAGCAAGTGGAAGATTTGCAAGAACATCTGGTGATAAATGAGATTTACTGATCTGTTCATCATATATTTTTGATATTGGTGATGTTTCGTTGATAACACGTTCCTTAAGATTTTGTCGAAATTGTTTGATTTCAAGTTCTTCTGGTTCTAATAAATGATTATGTTCACCACTTGAAACCAAGAAATTGTTATTAAGATCAGTATGTACATGTGCTTTACAGCTTTTAGTTTTACATGTCCAATATATTTTGGAGGATGTTTGTTTGTTCATTTTGTAAATGAAGCCATTGAACACCAACAAACGATTACCTTTGTTTGAGACAAGAAAAGAAATATTGTTCGTGTTGATGCTTGCCATCATGTAGAAGAATGAAATGCTGAAAGTGCAAAAAAATGTGTTTAAATATTTAAAATCGAGCGAAATAGACCGTCCGTCATGAAACAATAGTATAAGTGATTTCTTTGTTCGCTTGTGTTTTCTATCTATCTGCTATTCTAGTTAGTCATTTGTCCAACGACCTATTGGAAACAACTATTAGCTAATCAATAAAGCTTTGATAGACAAAACCAGAACGAAAAGAGAGGAAAGTCAATATTGCTTTATGACGATGTTAGGGTTCGGGCTCATGAGGAGCGACGAACACAGTTAAGATGTATGTGTTTTCTTCTCTCTCTGTTTATTCTTTGAGAAAACAAACGTTTATATATGCATATGAAAAAACAAGGACAAAAGTAGAAAAGAATAGAAAGGTTAATCAAGGTCAAAGAAAAGCAATGGAAACGAAGTAATAAAAACGAATATTTCAAAGAAAAGAAAAAGAATAGGATCGAGGTGTATGTTGTAAGAATACACTGTAACAAACGACATCTTGAAATTTTCGACATGTTATATGTTCGACATGTTATATGTTCGACATGTTATATGTTCGACATTTTTTTTCGGTCAAAATCGCTTCGATTTTTTTTTCTTGACATTTATTTTTCGATATTTTTTTCATCGACAATTTTTTTTCGACATTTTTCTTTCGACATTTTTTCCATCGACGTTTTTTTTTCGATCAATTTCATGTAAATCTCCATGACAGTTCACCCTTTGATTTTTCATTCTTCAGAACTGATTCAAAGGAACAATTCTATTAGACTCAGTGAGTTATCCGAGGAAGCTCTTGAAAGATGTAATAAAGACATCCGTAGTTTTAGAGAATTTCTCTCTCGAAAATGTGGACACATAGAAAATCTTACAGATGTCTTCAATCGATTGTTTTTAAGAAGCGATCCTGTCATAAATTATACTGTACAACATTCTTGGGCAAAAAGAAAAAGAAAAGACAAAACGGTCTTGACATGTAACAATGAAGACGATAGCCTTTTTTATAGTATGCTTGCAGATAGTTAATTATTTTGAATTTTTTCTTATAAGTTTTTTTTCATTAATTTTAGTTTTAGCATCAATTTTTATTCTTTTTTCGTATATATAGCAAATCCACGAAAAACGACCTTGAAGTACCGGTCTACAATTTGTAAAAGAAGTCTAATGACTTGACCAGTTCCATAAAAAAAGAGTCAAGGGGTGGTGGTGGGCACTATATACTATACGACAACATGCTTTTCCAGTCTGAGCTCTTGTTAAGATTTGCTAAAACATAGAAAACAGTTCAATTTAAGTGTTCTATTAAAAGTAGTTTCCAAAGACCTGGATTTCAAGAAAACCTTCTTGAAGGGTCCGTAAAACCTTTCTTTTACCATATTCAAAATCAGCGTACTCAAAAATCTATAAGAAATGATGGACAAATCGGAACTAGATATATAAAAGACCATTTGGATCTCTGGAAAACCAATGGTTTTTAGAAAACCAACTTAAAAGTACTTCTGAGTTCTGCAAACTACTCTATTGAAAGCAGCACATGCGAAAACCTATAAGAAAAGTATTTTTGAATATATTAGAGTGTTTTAAAACAAAATGTCCGCGTGCATGTGAAAAATTGCCCACTGTGTGTGGGATTTCTGGAAAGATGGATAAACTGCACAGATCACTTATGAGTAACTATAAGTACTTTTTAAAAGAGAAAGTTTAACACGACTGTTGTACGAGTAATAATGTTGTTTGGAGTTCTCTAAGTGTGAATGCATGAATTCCCGAATGGAAGAGTAGTTGTTTAGGGTAATCAACAAGAGGAAGCCACCGGCTAATCGCGAATAATGCCCTAATATATGCAGGCGAACGATTAGATGCTCCTTTACAAAAATTAATTGAGATAAGACTTCAACGTGTTGGGATCTACAACCAAAGCACGTGAAGTCTAACTACACAAGATTTTATAAGAGATTGTAAGTGCTAAATACGCATGTTTTTGAAATTGTGGAAACAGTTCTTGCACACGAGTACGCTATCTGAATTCTGCTATTTAGAGCGATAGAGTCATTCAAAGAAATGTAATCGTTTCAATCGGAAAGAAATTCGAAGGATGTACCGTGAATTTTTAAGTTAATATCTTTTGTCGTGTATGTCTAGTCCTCGATCGAGCTGCAGTGAAGTTTAGTCAAATTCACAATAAACTCATGATAACTTTGTGCGGGAGAGTGAGTAAATTCACGCTTTTCAACTGAAATTATTCTTTAACATGATCAATTTATAATGAGAAGTTCACGGAAAGTCCTATTTAGCCAGCGAGTAGTTTCAAACATAGGAAGGGAACTTCACATACTTGAAAACACACGGTTTTTTAATTCTAACATTCTACTATCATATCGAATTAGAAGCTAGTTTCATAGATATACTTTCTTGGCGATCGGCTCATTTAATTGGATATGAATTGTGAGTTTGAGGGGGTGGACAAGGACGTGAAAGGATTTGGTTCTTAGTGAAGATCAATGCGCCAATGAACTGAAATAACATTATAGCTAGTAAACCCATAGTGATTAGATAAGCCCTTTGGAAGAAATATGTCCCAGTAGCTTCTCATATTAACCTTTTTAGGACCGTGGTACAAGGATTGTACCACCTATTTACTCGGCAGGGAATATGTTTCATTTGCACTCAAATGTTAAAATTTCTTATACATGCAGATTATGAAGTGCTTCAACTGTCATGTTATGCATATCTTTTCTTGATGGTGTATGAATTCGTGTCAGACATTCACTTTTCTATCTGTAACAGTACAATAACGTCATGGTTTGCTTTTCTTTGTGTGACACGTATTTTAAAAGAATGTTTGATAAGATTCTCACTCTCTATTGCTCTTGTATATTGTTACGTCTTGAGATGTGAGCACGAAAATAGGGTACAAGATAGACAATATTGAGTTTCTAGTAGTCAGTGAGAGAGAACAGATGATTCAAGAAACGATGACTAATAGAGAGAAACAGCGGAAGCACGGAACAAATTCGAAGGAACGATGTGTATGTCAGAATGAATTATCATACTTGAACTATTTTGTTTCCGTGGCTAAACCTCTCTGCGTTCTGACTCTAAGCGAATAAATCTTGGATGATCTCCTTCAGAAAGGAAGCATAAATTGGCATTGCCACAATCTGCAGATCCCTTGGATGGTGAAATACATTACCTATCTAAGGAACACAGAAGAGATGTGCTTACTCTAGCACAAAAGAAGTGCAAGTTCGATCAACCATCCAATGCTCTACTTACAAGCTGTCTTTTTGCATAAAAGACGAGAAAAATTGTTGCTTTGAATATCATAAACTTTTTATGAAAAAATTTGCGTCAAATTCGATAAAATGATGAAAAGAAGATCTTTTCAATACAGAAAAAGATCGGTCTTGAGAAGGTTAAGAGTTTGAATATAATCAAGAGGGTGATAGAATGGAGATCGATTTGCTTTATTGACATTGTTGAAGTTTGTGTTGCTCAATGTTTTTGTAGTAGCGCGACTGCTTTTATTATTTGAGTTTCGAATACGGGGTGGGCTATCTGATTTAACGAGAGTTACATAAGTGCGTAAATGGATTCACTTAACACCTAATATTAGGTGTTAAGTGTTCCAATTTAACACTCTAAACTTAATTTTTAAAAATAATCGAGCGACTTAATACTGAATTATAGGTGATTCTGTACTACGCAGAATTTAATACTTGATATTAAGCGCGTTAACTGAATCAACTCAATTCATTCATTGAATCAAGTCGCGTGAAGTAAAATAGCTTGTCAGTTACCGAAGCATGTGTAGAAAAGAGAGCCTGTTGCTTCAGCTTGTTATAGAAAATAACGATTTTTTAAAAGATTTCATCGAAATTAATCTGATCGAGGAATGTGAAAACGATAACAGTACCTCAGAATCAGTGATTTGGTTTTTCAGCTAAGAAAAGGGATTTTTGAGAAACTTTCGATATTTTATAGGACTTGACTGAAAGTACTCGGAGTCGGGCAATTTGAATCAGTTGTCGGTCTCATGAAACTTTAAGTTCAATTTTTTCATAAAAACTTTGATTTATTTTTCAGTAGAGTTTTCTATGAATAAAGTTCATTTCAAATTCTGATGACTTTTAGGAGACTGGGTTTCCTTGTGCTGATACCCTCTGGCTAAACCTTATGAAATGTTGTTAGTTTCTCAAGAAACAATTCGTTTCATCGAAAAATCGAGTTGGAAGGCAATGCTTTCTAGGCAGTGTGACTTATACAGTTAGTTAATATTAATGTATGAAGTATTAACTAGAAAAGGACCCCGTCGGATAACTCAACTTATTCACTTAGAAAAACAAAA